AGATATAATTGCCTACTGGGCAAGAACAACGGGCAGGGAATGGAAACCCTTTAGCGGGAAATCTTCATGGACAAAGAAGTGGCTCCTGGATGGCAGCATGGGTGAGGAGAAAGCCCAAGCTCCACAGGCACCCAGAGTTCCCAGCTCTGCTTCCTGGCTAAGTAAGCTGGAGAAGGCACATGAACTCTCCAAGCCTTAGTGTCCTTCTCTGAGAAATGTTGAGTGATGCCACCTACATCACAGGATTCCTGTGACGCTGGAATGAGGTGATAGATATGAAACAGAGTGTCCAGGACACAGTGCATGCTCAGTAAGTATTTAGTTCTCTTTCCTTTTTCATTCCCCTGGACAACTATGTGAACTAACAGCAATACATACTACAGGAACATAATCACCGCAAGAACTATGAAAACAACAGCAACAAATCCATACATGGTCAGTATCGTTTATTTTTACATAATAATCATTATCCTGAATGCTAACCATTATATAGATCAATCTTTTCTTCTCATCCCAAATTTACCATAAACACATATATGAAAACAATCTTCAGAGAATAGAGATTTATCATTCTGGGGCTTTGTTCAAAAAAATAAATCTTCAATGAGTATGCATTTATCCGGCAAGATTTCAATAAAAACTTCGGCTCACTAACAGTTTTGATGAAGCAGAAAATCTATATATTTATATAGATTAGCATCTATACATCTCTATGACTAAGCCGTTATTTAGTAGACTCGGTAAAAATTAGTTTAAGGAAGTTCTTTCGTTTCTGCGTGGACATTTCCTCACCAATTATCCTCTCTGAATACCTTAGAAAGTCTTCCAGTGGTGCTGGAGGGAGATGTTCCCTGTTGGGGATCCAGCTCCTTCATATGCCAACTACTCATCCTGAGCCAGGACCCCAGCCACCTTGTATATTTTATACTCCACTTCTCAAATTGGTTCATTTCTCTCCAAACACTTCTTGCCCTCTCTTACCACCACGCTTTCTTCCCCTATGCCATTCACCTTGCCTGAAATACCTTACCTTCCCATCTTCAGCCAACAAAATCCTAGCCCATCTTCTAAACCCAGCTCACAGCCTGTCTCCACGGAGCTGACCCGGGCCATTACCTCCCACGCTCTCCTGACCTCACTGTCCCGTCAGCATCACATTCACTGGTGTACTGCTGCTGGGGCTGTTATTTTTTTTACTCTTTGTTACTTATTTTACAATTTCACACTCCCTTTTCCCCCCAGCTGAATAAGCTTTCTGAGACCAGGAGCCACATGTTAGAATTGAGCATACTCTTTTGCACACTGTTGATATTTAGATTTATTCGTTGGTTGGCTAGAATACATGAGGTATTGTGATAGGAAATTTCAAAGTCCTGGAGCACCTGGGTGGCTCAGTCAGTTAAGCATCTGCCTTCAGCTCAAGTCATGATCCCAGGGTCCTGGGATTGGGCCCTGCATCTGGCTCCCTGCTCAGTGGGGAGTCTGCTTCTCCCTCTCCCTCTGCCTCTTCCCTCTGCTCATGCTCTCTTTCAAATAAATAATAAATAAATCTTTAATAAATAAATAACAATTAAAAAAAAGAAAATTTCGAAGTCCTTCTTCAGCATGAATAGCAGTTTGCACAATATGAGTGACTTCTTTTGACATCACAACAGATGACATTTCTGAAAGCTCAAGATGAATAGATGAATTAAACTATTGGCATACTGTTTTCCCCTGCAGAAGGTATTTCATTGTGACAAATATTTTGAATGGCAACAGAATTATACAAATAAACTATCTCAGAATTCAAGCAGGTACTTATTACAGGCAGCTATATTAAATAATAATAGTGTTTGTATTTTAGTCAACAACTTATTTAACAAATTATTCACTGAGTCCCTAATTTGTACAAGGAACCATACTAAGATCCACTGGGAGAAGAGATGAATAAAAAACCAGCCAAAGGCGCCTGGGTGGCTCAGTTGGTTAAGCAACTGCCTTCGGCTCAGGTCATGATCCTGGAGTCCCGGGATCGAGTCCCGCACTGGGCACCCTGCTCAGCGAGGAGTCTGCTTCTCCCTCTGACCCTCCCCCCTCTCATGTACTCTCTCTCATTCTCGCTCTCTCAAATAAGTAAATAAATCTTTAAAAAAAAAAATAACAACAACAACAACAAAAACCAGCCAAGTCCTCAAAACTCAACACTTTAACTGAGGAGACAGACCTAAAAAATTTTTTACAAAACAAGTTAAATGAGCAATAAAATATAGCTAACCTGAGTAATGTGTGTGATTCATTTCAACTGGTAGGGCTTAGGAACCATCCGTCAAAACAAAACAAAACCACAAAAAGGGACAAGATGACATTGGAACAAGGCATTGAGAGATAATTGGAACTCTGTAGACCAAGACGGCAGAAGGGGGATCGGGGTTATAAGATTAGCAAGAGCAAAATGTACAGACATGAACACACACCCTCACCCATTCTAGCTTCTTTCAGTAGGTGATCTAACCTGCTACTTCATGAGAAATTGAAAAGGTCATTCCTCTCCTGCATCTCACAACTGCCTCTGCCTTTCGCTCTATCTCAACAGTTTCCCCATTCTTCCCTAAAGCTAAATTCTGCCAGTTGTTCAGGACCCTCCTGCTGCTTGTCTAATGTCTCATCTCGTTGCAGCGCTCACCCTCCCTCTCCTTCCTTTTGCAGACAAGTTTTTGAAAGCATGGTCTGTACTGGTTGTCTCTACTTCATCTCTAATTCATTTCAGTTACATAAGGTTAACTGCCTCTTGAATCTTTTTTATTCAGTAGAATAAAGAGAAACAAGGATTTACTTTCTGATTTCCTCCTTTCTTTGTTTTAAAATAAGTTAACCAAAAAAAAAAAAAAGTTAACCAGTTATTTCTTTTTAAAATTTATTTGCTATATTCAGGAAACAGAGAATGAATAGTCTCTGCATAGGATTTGTCACGTCTGGAAAGTGAACAGCTGAGACTCTGCGTAAGTGATTCTAACCCCACTGAGAACGCTGAACCTTAAACAAGCCCTTCCTTCCATGTGCCTTTCCTAACTCAGCTCTTTACAGTTCTTCAAATGAGAGGAGACAGTGTATACAATTCATCCTCTTTGACAATATAAAACAGGTCCTTTTAAGGAAATTATGTCACACGAGCTGGGTCCTTAATCTTTTCTAGGAGATCAGGGTAAGGAAGGCTTGGTGCAGCCACACTGTACTGATACACCTGCAGAAGCATCCCAAGCTAACCCCCTTGATTTATGTTCTGCTTCTCTGGCAGTTTCATTTACTAAAGGAATAATAGCTACGATGGTCTCTCCTCTTATATACGATAAATAGCCAGAACCCTCCATAACTTACTTTGTTCACCTTTCTTTCCTTCAAAGCCAAGTTTATCAGCACCCATTAACCCCCTACACCGATTTCAAAAAATGCAAAGACTCACCCATATGATATTTACACTTAAGTCTTTTCATGGACAGTGAGTGTTACGTATACGAGTCCATGAACTGTTGGACAATATATAGATCTTAACTCATCTTTTCAGATTTCCTTTGCCATGAACTTCAGTTCACTGAACAATCTAGTTACCCCCCCTTCATCTCTTAAAAATAAATTTATCCCCCACACACTCTGCTTTTTAAATATAGCTCTCCTTAAAGCAGATAAAGATCTGTACCATTCACTTCTCTTCTGTCCTCCTACAGAACAGAGTTTACAGACCTCCCAACTACACTGGACATTATAGAAATTCCATAAATATTTATCAACAGGCAGATTTATATTTAATAATATTGTTAAAATTTCCATAACGGTCACCAAATAAATGTTTTGACTAAAGACCAAATGGAAAATTTCAAGCCCACCTCTTCAGACCCCGTGTAAGACTCAGGTTAAGATTACAGATGGAAACCCACATTCCATATGTCTAAATATTTAAAAGTTATATATCAAGTTAAACTATTAAATAAAATATGGTCTCTTCCTCCAATCTGGACAAGTATACCTTCAACCACCTGGGCGTACAGGAACGAATTTAGAACTTCTAGACTCCTTAAAGTTCCACAATATAGTACATGGAGGCTCTAAGCTGTTTGGGGTCAGGAAAATTCCAGTCAGGTACTCAGAATATGGGGGGTGGGTGTGTAAGGGCTGGGCACACCCCCTTAACCTCTTAGGTCCTTCTTCCCGTGGGAAAATGTGGCCAGAACAGGGTCCTCTAATTCACAGGTCCTCTAATCCACGGGCCTCTGTTGCTGGGACTGAAGGCAATACTGCATAATTTACCAAAATGGAGAATTTACCCGATCAGTCTTATTACACTCGGTTAATACAGTAGCTGAAACTAAATATATAAAAAAAGATTAAGTAGTAAAACCTGAAACTCCAATCCCCAATCACTTCAGTTCCCTCGAGATCTACAGTAAAAAAGAGCCTAATATTTATCTGACTCTACCCTACAGCCTAATGTAGATTCTGTGCTTTTTTTTTTTTTACAAATTCATACAATTTACAGGACTCTATTCACAGCTAGAGGGAGTTAAGACAAGAAGGAGCAGAAGAAGAGGGAAAGGAGGAAAACATCAAGTATTAGAGATCAGACATGCAGGTCTAAGAAGACATTTCCCTTGTGTTCTGTCACTTGTCTGAAGAAGCACATGACACCATGACTAACCATCTGATCACAGCCGTGAGTATCCCTGCTTGCTCTCACTAATACACAGATTCATGTAGTCTGTTCACGGGCCTCATAAAGCTCCTATTCTAGGCACTGGGTCCATGGGAAGGCAAGCTGAACCTTGTCAATGTTTAAGCTGAGACTGATACCAGCTCTCTCTGCACCTCACCATAATCTGCTGCCCTGCAATTTCCACTTCACTTAGCAAGAAAATTAATTTGTTAATTTGAGAAAAACTAATAAATAATTCTCATCCCAATACATACATACATACTCCATAGGAAGGGAAGTATTTCAACTGGAAATCTTATTTATGTGTACTTACTGAGATTGTACCATTGTCTAGACCTATGGACAGTCTTCTTGTTTCCGGGTTAAAAGACATGCATGAACATGGAGCTGAAAGAAATGAACATGTTGATGAAATTAACAAAATGATGATTCTCACTGATTCAGGAGTGACTAGCTAAAAGTGTGTGGCTATTTTTTCCCCACTATTTCCTGAAAAACAGTTCATTTAACGCCCACTCACCAAAAAATAAAAACAGTAATCTTACAACCAACCCCTAGTTTTTCAGTTATCCTTTTAATGAATATAACAAGTAAGATATTCTCAAACTGGACTAGTTCCAAGGGGCTTGGTCTCAGCTGTTCTGTCAGAATGGAATCTAAATTTGCTTGACTAGATTAACAATATTTTGTGCTGTGTAATCCCTCTGTCCCCAATCTATCTCTTCCACTCAAACCCCATCTTTAATAGAAACAACCTATCTTTTCTCAACTAAGGAAAAAAATACAAAGAAAGATCTTGTAATTCCCTCCTCCCCCCAGGTACACACACTAGTATAAACATCTGTTTTTTGATGCAGAATTGATTCGGGGCATGTGGACTAACAGAAGTCTTTTACTCTCAGCACTGAAGGCTGCTAAGTGGAAAAGCCTGAGGATCTGTCTCAGTTTAAGGGGGAACCAACTGGACACAGAGCCAGGCTCTATGGAAAGAAATCAAGTCTGGGGAGGGCCTCCCTGTTCTGTGAAATTGGCTACTTAGCTGAGCCTAAGTAAACTAAGCATGCCTGGAAGCCAGTGTGGGCAAGAAGTGCTTGCTGAGCAGACCGCTTCCGGGTCCCTGCCTTCTCTATCTACACAGGCTCCCAAGAATGGAGCCTGCTGGCAATTTATGCTACACCGAAATTGTTGTTCTAAAAACACATCCAACACAGTTTTTAAATTTCTCCTCCACCTTCACAGTGGCCCTGTAGATGACAAACTGCTCATCAACATAATCATAATCAGCCTCAGATATCTTTACTCCTACTTTCCACAGTTATGATTAGATGTCTTACTCAAGGTCACGCAGGAAAAAAGAAGCTGGAGAAGGTTCAAAGACTTCATTCAAACACACAGTCCTATTTTGAAATACCCAAATTAGATTACCTCTAAACTATAAAAGAATTTCAAGTTCTACTAACAGAGCCACTTCATAAACAGATCACTTAGTAACATTTTTTTTTGTTCTCTATAAAAGGACCATGAACAACAAAAAAGATCTTCCAAACTGCATGAAGTATTTACTTTTTTCTAATTTTCAATCATGATATATTCAGAAAATGGAAACACAAAAAATAATACCCCCCCCCCCACTTCCACCAGTGCAGCAGAGTATCTTCACTCTGATCAGCCACAAAATTAAGCTGGATTCCCAAAAGTACACTGCTGCAAAAAGTAGTCAAATGATATTTAATGCTCTGCCCTAAGAAAGTCAGTCTTTCTCGCCTGTGGCCCATCAACTATGTTGGCACAATTTCTAGGCAGGTGTTAAGATGCCTGTAACATGCGTTCAGAATTAAAATCTAATGATTTCATGGAAAATTATCATGTTAGCTGAAAAGAGCAAAAGAAAAAAATATATTGTGATTACAACTACATAAAGTTCATAGCCACCTAAAAACGTACATGGAGAAATGAAACTGTTTTTGTGTTCATGTGACAATTTCTATATTAATCATTTCTATATTAATTTCTATTTCATTTCTATATTAATCTTATTATTTTGCTATTCCTGTTAAAAGTTTTAAGTATCTAAAGGTGTATATTAAGATATAAGCATGAGCATATGAAGCAAAACCTGACTGCAGCCCAAAGGGCTATAAACTAGTCAAAAATAACCTTATCACTTAGCTGCCTGCCTGACCATATAAAAGTTTTTTCTGTGTGATTTCCTCCAAAGTTCATATCTGGTTGTGTAATAGTTAGAAAACCCACTGATCTCTGAATGTGATTTAAATGACTGTTTTTACAACACTGCATCAGTTACCTTGACATCTATATTGCTATTTCTTTATTTCTGGATTTCTTCTCCCCTTTACTAAATTTCTTATTATTCTTTTAACAAAAATCTAGAATGCTTACTATGTTCCAGGCATGTGATATAATGATAGATAAGGAATTACAGCTGTCATCAAGGAATTTACAGATTTTGGCACCAACCATGTACAGGAACTGTAAGACTCATCCCAATGTCACCATTATAGTCCAAATCACTTTATGTTTACAGTAAGAAACACCATCAGAATTCAAAAGGAAAAGACCTTTCCCAGAGAGTCCCATAAACAAAATAAATTTAGAAATCCTGTTGTTCTAGAACCCATATACTTGAACCCAAGATGGTTCTAGACAGGGGAATGCCAGAGCTAAAGAGCATTAGCTTCCAGGTGCCCCCAAAGACAGAACCGCCCCTCCATGGGGGCATTATTGGTAAAACACCAAGCAAACCTGTGTGTGTGTGTGTGTGTGTGTGTGTGTGTGTCTGTGTGTGTAGGGAAAGACTTTTGGTAGGTTGAGCCTACCAAACCACTTCCCAACTGTGACACTCTAACAGGAATAGGCCCTGGGTTGGTTACCCATAGACCCTGGCAGGGCCAAGGAGACAGGGAGTGGACTAAAAAGAATATTGATGCCCATGTCTGTTGTTACAGTAAATGTCTTTCCTTTTGGGAAATGGGGGAGTAGATAGATTGACAGAGAGATCCTTCTACCTTCAACTCACCAGAAATTAACAAAAAAGCAAGCTCTGAAAGACTAGTGTTAAGGCCATACAGAATGGGCTCCTATCCATGCAAGAAAATATCGAAGGGGCAGAACTGTCTGGGGAAGGATAAAAAGACACAGTAAATTAATGGTAATTCTGGCCAAATGGAAAAAGGGGTCCCTCAGCAGGAAGGGTTAGGAAAGAAACAAAATATGATTTAAGCGTAATATTTGTAGCTAGGTTGCAAAAATGTGATGTTTCACAAATAAGAATTCAGCTTTAAATGATGTAAAACTAATGGTTCCTAAGTCGATAAAGAAAGAATTGCTCCATCTGATGGCTGAAGGTTGAGGTCGGGGATGAAGTGGCTGAGGGACTTCTAGTCTCTCACCTCGCAGTGGCTTTCTCCAAGGGCTCAGTGAAATGGCTGACCAGACCCCTAAAATTACAATACAGCCCCTCCACTGGCCTTCTCCTTCACAGCCGCATCCCTGAACTCCAGATGAAATAAATACAGCATAATACAAAACCTGAAGATATATTTATTTCCCCCCCCTTTAACTGTTTTCCCCATGAGAGAGGATAACCACATCTAGTAAGCTCTGTGGGGCGACCCCCATCTGCCACGGCCTCCCACGTGTATCCATCTGTACACAGTTTACCTGGGCCTGCTCCTACACAAACCCAGTAACTGAAATTCAAGCCCTTGCCACTGGTCTTGTTGATGTTATATCATTAGCTTCCTATTTTTTCCCCCAACATAGTCTATTAAAACCTAAGAAAAAAATGCTCACAGTTTATTCCTCAATAAAATAGTACAAGAATTCATTTCTATGCTATCTGATTAAGACTTGCCATTCCCTCTTTTCTGTTTCAGACTGAGGACAACCAAAAGAAATTATCTGGTAAAATTTTAGGAAGATAATAAAAGGTACAAATAAGATGGAAAAGAAATTTGCACAGGTCTATGAGTAATGAAAAATAATAGTCTCGGGCGCCTGGGTGGCTCAGTTGGTTAAGCGACTGCCTTCGGCTCAGGTCATGATCCTGGAGTCCCGGGATCGAGTCCCCCATCGGGCTCCCTGCTCGGCAGGGAGTCTGCTTCTCCCTCTG